GCCTAGCCACGGCCGATCAGGTTTTATTTATTAACCAATCAGAGCAACTTGACATACAGACCATCCCCCAGCACAGCCAAGTGCAGACCATCTCAAACACCTGCACTCAGGCCCATGGTCCTAATCATCCTCTATACGGACCTGCTGGGTAACGCCACAAAGAACCCAAGAAGGGCTCCCACAGAACATCCCACAGCAGGCTCACAAGGGTCTGTAACTCCAGCTCTGGGAGATTCAACCCCCTCTTACCTCTGTGGATGCCTGCATTCACATTCACATGCCCATGTGCAGACATACACACCTACACATAATTAAAAGTAAGAAAAATATTTTCAAAAGACTCAAACTACAGCAGTATTTGGTAATCCTTGGTAGTATATTTCTATTTTTTCCCCCAGTGTGGCACATTGGTAGCCCATAGCTGTAATGGACAGGTAATTCTAGGAGCATTAGTGCTTTTCCCTGTGAGAGTCCTTCTTGTTCTGTTTTCATTCTTCCATGGCCGCCTTTCTGACATTGATTTTGTGTTCTAACAAGTTTGTTTTGAACTCATGAAGGTAGACAAAAAGGATGTGACAAAGTTGGACTTGTAACCAAGGAAGTCTCAGCTGTGGTCAACACTTCAGTTTTATGGAATGTCTAGAAGTGTTGTGAGGAAAAGAAATGTGGATCTCAACAGTGTACTAGTTACTTTTCCTGTTGTCACCAAATACCCTAATAAAAACAGCATTCAGGACAAAGTGGTTTGTTTTGGTTCACGGTTTATAGGTATGGTCAGTCTTGGGAAGGTCATGGCAGCAGGAGGTTGAAGGAGCTGGTCACACTGCATACTGTCAGGAAGCAGAGCCTGAGGAGAGCTGGTGCTCAGCTCCCCTCCTTTTATACAGTTCAGAACCCCAGGAATGTTGTCACTCAGTGGGCAGGTTCTCCCACCTCAGTTAGCCTAATCAAGATAGCCCCTCGGATATGCTCAGAAGCTTGTTTTTTCAGTTGATTGAGGATTCATCAAGTTGACAGTTGAGATTAACCACCACCAGCAGCTGCTTAGGGTTACTCTAGTTCTTTGTACTGTGGGAGACTTTATAAACAACAGGGCAACCAGACAAGTTGTACTCTACAGTGTTTACACAACAAGTGGAGGAAAAATCCCAGTACTTTGATAGCATAGAGGCGTCTTTGATAGTATTTCAAGAGGACTAAGAACCAGACAGTTTGCTTTTGGATGCTACCTAAGGAATTTACAGGGGCACTTCTTTAATGACTCCTCTAGTTCTTCTACCAGCTGCTCTGGGTACACTAGGACTAGACCTTGTGAGTTTAGTACCTTGATCTAATACAGAAATTCATGTGACAAATGCTAAGTAGCTGTGTTGTGAAGCACTGGGCCCGGAGGTTTAAAGAGTGCAAAGTTGAGTAAGTTCTCTGCCCTTGAGAAGTTTGCAGTGCCAGGATAGGCTGCGACACACAAGAGGTTATGATTGAAGTGCTGTCAGGAAGGAACAGCATCTGCTCTGGAAGATGTTGACCGAGGTATGGTAGGTACCATCTTTGTAAGTGCTGTTTTGAGAGACACTTACTGTCAGAGTAAAGCCTAGAGAGTTAATTGGTCTGAGGACACTCAGACACTGAATTGTTAGTGTAGAAATTACTAATAGGCTTAAATATTGGAAGATTTTTATATTGTTTTGAGACAAGACTGGACTTCAGACTTGCTATGTAACCAGGGCTGACTTAGGGCTGACTTTAGAACTCCTGCTCTTCCTGTGCCCGCTTCCCAAGTGCTAGGATTATAGGGATACACAACTGTGCCAGGCAAAACATCTCAGGTTCTAATGAGCCTTTGTTTTTGTTTTGTTTTTTTGGTTTTTCGAGACAGGGTTTCTCTGTGTAGCTTTGGAGCCTGTCCTAGAACTTGCTCTGTAGACCAGGCTGGCCTCGAACTCATTGCTGAGGGAGAGTCATGTGGAGTGCTTAGATATTAGTCATTGGCTGTTTTGATTAATGTTCTGTGTATCTTTAAGAATTTTCCTTTTCTGGCATAATATATTTTTATTAATTTTTAAAACAAAGTTGATTGAAGTAGAATGGAAGAAAAAGAGCCAAAAAATTTAATTCCTGTCTGTTGCTGGAGAGTACTGGCAGGTAGCAAGTTTTCGAAGAGATGAAGTGCCCTTTATTAACAGTATACTACTTTGCTGTTTATACTTTCAAGGTACTTATTTTAAATGTAAACATTATCTTGGCAATGCGGTTTTCAGGTAGAGTTTATAGTGTTAATTAATATTTTGCTAGAAACTTAATTTTGCTTTTTTTGAGGCAGGGTTTCTCTGTGTAGCTTTGGAGTCTGTCCTGGAACTCACTTTGGAGACCAGGCTGGCCTCGAACTCACAGAGATCTGCCTGCCTCTGCCTCCCAAGTGCTGGGATTAAAGGAATGCACCACCACACCCGGCTATTTATTTATTTATATGTATGAGCAGGTGAGTGCATGAATGCCGTGGCCTACATATGGTGGATATGGAGGTTAGAAAACAGCTCATGGGAGTCAGCTCTTTCTTTCCACAATATGTAGGTCTTGGGATTCAAACTCAGGTTAGTGCCTTTATATAGGCCAAGCCATCTCACCAGCCAGGGGGGAAAACTTGATGCTTTCTGTGCTGGTTAATTTTTTGTCAACTTGACATAGCTTTGGTCACCTGGAAAGAAGGAGACTCAACTGAGAAAATGTATAGGACTGGCCTGTAGGCAAGTCTGAAGGACATTTACTTTTGATTAGTTACTTCTGTGAGAAGGTCTAGCTGTCAATGTTGGTGCTATCCCTGAGCAGGTAGTCCTGGATTGCATAAAAAGTTCTAGCTGAGGCACCAGGGAGATGGTTTAGCAGGTAAAGGTGCTTGTCACTAAACATGATCTGAGTTCTGTTCCCAGGACCCATATGTAGAAGAAAACTGGTTGTCACGGTTTGTCTTGACCTTCCAGTGCACGCCCTGGCATGTGCCCCCTTCCCCAATAAATAAATGTAAAATAAAAAAATCAAGTTGAGCAAGGCTTAGAGAATAAGACAGTAAGTACTGGTCTTCTATGACCTTTGCTTCACTTCCCACCTCCAGGTTTCTGGTGTGACTTCCTCAGTGATAGAGGTGTGACGGGAAAGTTATAAGTTGAAATAAACTCTTTCCTTCCCCAAGTTGGTTTTGGTTAGTGTTTTATCTCAGCAATTCAGAGGCAAGCTATGACTTTTTTTTTTCTTTTCTTTTTTAAAGCTCTGACTGGCCTGGAATGTGCTATGTAGAACAGGCTGGCTTTAAACTCATAGAGACCTGCCTGCCTCTGCCTCTGTAGTCGTGCTGAGATTCAAGGCACGTGTGTTAGAACCAAATTTTGGTCCTCTACAAGAGCAGCAAATGCTTTTAACCACTGATCATCTCTCCAGTTCCTTATTTATTGTGTATGTTTTTGCATGTGTATACATGTATGCCATGGTACCCATATGGAAGTCAGAGTGGACTTTGTACTTCCACGTGAGTCCCAGGATTGAACTTGAGTTACTAGGTTTGATAGCACTTATCCTTACCTATTCAGCCATCTCTCTAGCCTCATATAGAAATTTCTCTTGTTTGAATTCCAGGAAGATTCTGAGACCAGCTCTTGAATTTCTAAGGATCAGAATTTGCTCAGCATCCTCACTGTTAACCACTTTGGTTTCATCTGGCTGTTTGTTGTCTTCTGCTCTTGTCCAGTACCATCTGTTGCTGATACAGAAGGACTGCAGGAACAGGTGAGTTCCATCATGTTGCTCCTCCAGCCAAAACCTGCCTCCCTCCTCACTTTGTGGTTTCCCAGTTAGCTATTGTCACCACAGGATGTCTGCTATATCCAGCCTGCTTAGGGGACTCCTTCCTTAGGGCCTTTGCACATGTTTTGCCTTCTGCTGGAATGTTCTTCCTATAGAGGTGAATGTAATTAGATCCCTTGCTACCTTGGGGTCTTTTCCCAGAAATCATCTTAGATGACTAAAATTTCACCCTTTCCCAATATTTCATATTACTTATTTATCTTGTGTATTATTTTTTCCCTTGCTAGACTACATGTTTATTTATTTTTCTTTTCTTTTTTGTATTTTTGAGACAAGGTTTCTATGTATAGTCCTGGCTGTCTTGGAACCAACTCTGTAGACCAGGCTGGCCTTGAACTCACAGAGTCTTTGCCTCTGCCTCCTGAGCGCTTGCATTAAAAGTGTGCTCCACTACTCCCCAACTCTAGAATATATATATATATATATATATATACACATACATATACATATATATATATATATTTCTATAGGGCAAAGTTTGGTCTTTGTTGTTTTCCTGGTCTCTACCACCGCCTGGCCAAGATGTTTTAATAACCTAAGGTTTTTCATGACAGTAAGACTGTCTGCTCTGGGCAGCACCAATTTACTTCAAAAAAAAAAAAAAAAGGTGATGGACATCAGAGAACCTCCATATGGAGTTTGCTTTTATTGTGGCAAAGTTAGACACTGGGGCCAGGCAGCAGTGGTACACGCCTTTAATTCCAGCACTTGGGAGGCAGAGCCAGGTGGATCTCTGAGTTCGAGGCTAGCCTGGTCTACAGAGTGAGTGAGATCCAGGACTGGCACCAAAACTACATGGAGAAACCCTGTCTCAAAAAAAGAAAATATGTTCTTAGGAGAAATGGCTCAGTGGTTCAGAGCACTGGTGGTTCTTCCAGAGGACCCAGGTTCAATTCCAAGCCCCCATGTTGCCCTCTTCTGGTCTCCAAGAGCACCAGGCATGAACATGTATATCTACATGCATTCAGAGACTCATAGATGTAAAATAAAAAAATATAAAAAGAAATGAGTTAGCCACGGGGCAAGAAACTGCCCTTGACTCAGCTGCTGACAGTATGCTGTTCAAATTGGACAAACAGGACTCAAAAGAAGGGAACTGCCGAACTTTGCCAAGATAAGGTAGGACAGTCCTTCAAAAATTTTCTGCTTCACAGAAAAGTCTGTCAGATATTCTAGTCTGTAGGTCAACATTGCAGAGGAACTTTGGGTGACTGTCCAGGCAGCCAGCTGTCTCTGCCATTTCTATAGTTTTGGAAGTTGTTTGCTCTATACTTCCTGTTTACTCAGGTAATATTATATCCTTCTCAGGTCTTTGATGGGTTTAAGGACTAGATAGTTATAGTTACAATTTTCCTTGGTCCCAAATTCAGAAAAGAAACTTAAGAGATGTAAAGTTTATAAGGTTGAGACACATAAAAAGCTTAACTTATTTATCTAAGAAGATGTTTTTAGATCTAAAAAGATATTTTTAGGATGGTAATACAAGTTATGTTAGAAAATGTTCAATACAAAACTTTGTACTCATAAACATAGGATAGATAATGCAGTATTTTTTTTTAATTTGCCAGTACTAATGGACTGGACATTGTGAATGTATTTCTTACTTGATAATTATTCTTATTGTGTATGGTTTTACTGTGTTAGAGTTAAAACCTTCCCATTCTATTTATACAAAAAGGGGGGAAATGTTGTGGGATATTTGTACACTGTGAAGATGTATTGCTGTGATTGGTATAATAAAAAGGTAAATGGCCAATAGCTAGGCAGAAGAGATAGGCAGGACTTCCGAGCAGAGAGAGGAAGGGGAGATAATTGAGGCATGCCAGGGATACCAGTGAGACTCAGAAGCAGCAGGACATGCAGGAGGAGAGGTAACAGCCACGAGCCACATGGCAGGACATAGGTTAATAGAAATGGGTTAATTCAAGTTATAAGAACTAGTTAGGACAAGCCTAAGCTATCGGCCGATCTTTTATAATTACTAAGAAGTCTTCGTGTCATTATTTGGGAATGAGCTGGCAGCCCAAAGGAAAGTCTGACTATAAGGCAGGACCTTGAAAAAGAAACTTTGGGGCAACATGTTTTACTGATTTGCCTTCTCTGGCCTTTGAGCTGTCTTTCTTACATATCTGCCTAGATAGCAAAGTAAAATAGAGACCATGAAATATTATTCAGCCTTTAAAAGGAAAGAAATTTTGACATATGAATGTGTGTTAAGCATCAAAGTTATAGCATGAATAAACTTTGAGGACATTATGCTAAATGAAATGTCAGTCACAAATAAATAATCTATGACTTGGCAAATAATTGTATGTGTTATCTAAAGTAGTCCGTTTCAGACGGACAGAAGATAGGTGTGGTTTACCTGGAGCTAGAAGGGCAGAATGAGTTTACTATTTAATGGGTATGAATGGCTTTTCAATTTTACAAAACAAAAAGAGTTATAGCAATGGATGCTACACCTGGAACCTGACGGGAGCACTACTGATGGGTTAGAAGTGTCGATTGGAGGTCTGGTGCTCCAAGGAGAGCATCTGAAGGATGGATGTAAGGCTACATACCAACATACATTATGTAGCTGTGGTGGTCTAAATGAAAATGACCCCTATATACTCCTAGGGAGTGGCATTATTGGAGGTGACCTTGTTGGAGGATGTGTGTCAGTGAGCTCAAGCCAGGCCTAGTAGCTCACTCTTCCTACTGCCTGTGGATCCAGATGTAGAACTCTGAGCTAGCTCTCCAGCACTGTGTCTGCCTGCATGCCACCATGCTTCCTGCTGTGACAATAATAGATAAACCTCTGAATTGTTAGCCAGCCCCAAAATAAATGTTTTCCTTTATAAGAGTTGCTGTGGTCATGTTGTCTCATCACAGCAATAAAACCCTAACCAAGACAGTGTCATAACAGAACATATTTAATTTCCTATGTAGAAAAAGTTAGATATAGGACAGATTAAGCTGAGTGTGGACTGTAACACCAAATACTAGGATAGGGTAATATCTTAGATGGTGCCTGAAACATAAAGCCAAGGAATCATCTTAATTTAGCCCAGTCACTTCTGTGTGTTCTGTCTTGACCACAATGTTGAGCTAAGTCTCTAGAAATGGCACTTATCAGGAAACACGTCTTCACTGTGGTTATGATTTCAATGTGATTAAGTACTTATTACCTTGAGTTCAGTAAATCTGTGTTTAGGTTCAGTGATGTCCCAGATTACATGTTACCTCAGATATCAAACCAGCCTCTCTTTAGAGCATGGTTAGGGGCCTTCTGTCACAAGTCTGGGATGCTACAGGGTTGTGTGGTAGTTTTTATTTAATGCTCCCACCCCGTCATTGCTAGCTCTTCACTATTTCAGGACTTATTGCCAGGATTGAGTTCTCTTCTTTTGTCTTTTCTCTTTTCACTTTATGACTAAGGACACTAAAATCTAAATGTATTAATGTATTTGATTGCCAGCCACATGTATATCTGTTGTTCATGATTTATGACATGAATCTGTTTATTAACTAGCTTTTAAAAAATTGGTGACAGTAACCTTTTTTCTAGCTCTTTTTTTTTTTTTTGGTTTTTCGAGACAGGGTTTGTCCTGGAACTCACTCTGTAGCCCAGACTGGTCCCGAACTCACAAGAGATCCTCCTGGCTCTGCCTCCCGAGTGCTGGCATGCACCACCACCACCTGGCTTTCTAGCTCTTTTTTTTGTGAAATAAAATCTATCCTGGTCTCTTTAAAAGTACAGTTTAGTGAAATTAAACATATCCACATTGTTTTGTAACCATCCATTGCTATAACTCTTTTTGTTTTGTAAAATTGAAAAGCCATTCATACCCATTAAATAGTAAACTCATTCTGCCCTTCTAGCTCCAGGTAAACCACACCTATCTTCTGTCCGTCTGAAACGGACTACTTTAGATAACACATACAATTATTTGCCAAGTCATAGATTATTTATTTGTGACTGACATTTCATTTAGCATAATGTCCTCAAAGTTTATTCATGCTATAACTTTGATGCTTAACACACATTCATATGTCAAAATTTCTTTCCTTTTAAAGGCTGAATAATATTTCATGGTCTCTATTTTACTTTGCTAATTCATTTTGGATAACAATATTTTTCTTCTCTAAATAGAGGCAGAAAATAGTAGAATGATAGGAATTTGGGGCTTCTGGGCTCTTTGCCCTTTCCTTTTTCTCTAGATTAGTTAGGAATGGCCCACCAAATCTGTTTCTCCAGATAGATGAGGTTTGTTATTGATAGGTCAAGAAACTTCTTCCTCTAGATTCACTTAAAAAAGCTTGAGCTTGTAAGTTAGAGGCCAACCTGGGCAATATAGTGAGCTCTATCTGAGGAAAAAACTGGAGGAGAGTGGATGAGGCAGAGAGGTAGCCTGTTTATATATTTATAGATTTAGAGTTCTGCCTTAATTTACTTTCTTAGAAACCAAAAATCTAAGGGATTTTGATGTTTAAAAAATGTCTTTAAACTGGGCATGGTGGTGTATGTTTATCATACCAGAATTCTGGAGGCTGAGCAGAAGGATTGCAAGTTGGAGGCCAGCCTGGTGTACAAAGCAAGACCCTGTCTCAATAGAATACTGTAATATCTTGAGTGAGTGATTTATCATATTGAATTGCTGGGTAATTTATCATCAAGTGCCAGCTTCTGTCATCTTTCAGATGTGTTTTTTTTTTTCCCGAGACAGGGTTTCTCTGTGTAGCTTTGCGCCTTTCCTGGGACTCACTTGGTAGCCCAGGCTGGCCTCAAACTCACAGAGATCCGCCTGGCTCTGCCTCCCGAGTGCTGGGATTAAAGGCGTGCGCCACCACCGCCTGGCTCAGATGGGTTTTAATTTCTGTCCTTGGTGCTTCTTGTTCTTGTCTGGATACACTTTACTGTCTTTATAGACTTATTTGTA